TGAGACCATTTTATAAATATTTCAAGACTAAAAGATTGAAAATGTGTATGACAAATCTGAATAATTTCTTTATACACGTTATGTTTTGTTTACATTTACTATGCCTTATTTTACTATTACATTCTAAATATAACAATGGTTCTTATATCCATTATTGTAAATTAACAATATACTAAGAAACGATATTAAAATTTATAATTTATGGAATATTAATGGATATACTCCGTTTATAAAACAGCAATTACATTAATAATTGTTTTGACAATATTTGATTCTTACATTGCATATTATATTTTTTTCATTTTCTATCTGAATTTGTAAGCTACGTACTAATAAAAAAATTAAAAACAAGCATAAACGTAATAAAACAAATTATTAAATACGGAATATCAAAATCTTTTGTCAGTAATATTTAACTTGTGTAAAACACATTAGAGTATTTTGTGAAATAAGATTCATATTTTAACAAACAAAGAAAAGAGAAAGAAATGATATAAATATGCAGAAATATTCGGAGTAAGAAAAGATACAAATAGGAAAAAGTAAATAATAAAATATTACGTGCTCATTACATTTCATGACTTTCTTATTAATTAACAGATTTTCATAATTTGCGTAATTTAAATGAACTTCAAATAATAGTATACAAACTATTTTATTACTGTTCCTTTCTTACTGTGCTATATATTTTCATATAATTTTTTCTTTGAAACAAATAAGAATGTAAAGATTTTTGATAAAAATAAAGAAGCCTAAGTTTTCTTTACTCATTCTTTGTCAAAATGAATTTACTAAAAATAAAAATAAACTTGTTTAGATATTGTAAAATAAAAATTGTTATTGAAAGAACTGTTTAAGTAAGCCTTTGACAAATACATTTAAGTAAATAAATACACGTACAAACACACACATACATACACAAAAAACAAAGAAAGGTTTACTTTAAAATTAATTTAGAATTTTAAACTTATACCAATGTGCAAAATAAAATAAATGCTTGTAAAACTTTATTGGAAGAATTTTCATCTTAGCAGTAAATTTTAATAAGGTATCAAATTTAAAATAAATGAATTCATTAACCCTGTCAAAAAAGTGAAATAAAAAGAAAATAATAAAGCTAATCCATATAAATAAATTTAATAAAATAAAGTTGGATTTCTACATATATGTCACTAAATTCAAAGGTCACATGCATTCGTTTAACATACTTCAATAACCATTTCTTGTATTTTCTTCTTTTTAAATTTATTTGACTTATTTGAACGGTAAGAAGCGAAACTATAACAGGTATAAATGACATAGTTTTTTCAAACATTACAATATAATTGCTACTATATAGCGTAGGTTACTCTGGTAATTCAAACAATGTGTAATGTAACGCAATTAAGTGGTTGTTTAAATCCTCTGGCATTGTGTTCGTTGTGTCATACTGATGATTGATTTTCCAGTGGTGTATAGTTTACGTATTATTATTATTATTATTATTATTATTATTATTATTATTATTATTAGGTATATAATAGAGGTAGTTGTAATTTATAGTAGGATTCTGATATCTTATTTAATAATATATTTTATTAAAAGCTTTTTCTCATTTAGATTTAAGATTCTTAGTAAATCACTAAACTTGATAAAATAGTACTATTTATTAGATATAGCATATTTTACTCTTTATTGCGAATAACAAGAATATAAAATTTTACAACATTGCAAATAAAGATGATAAAATATTCTACAACAAATTGTATTAGTCGAACAAATAAGAACGAATAAGATTTTAACATTTGATATATTATGTAATAACTTATAAATGAAGGTGGATTACAAATTTTTAATTTTTTTACACATTATATCAATATAACTGAATGTATCATAATTCCTAATTAAATTGGTTTCATTCAAGGTATTATTTTAAAAATGTAATGCATTAATATAATAATAAATCTTATTATTATACTATCTAATAAAATAATAAATCAATGAATAAATCATTAATTATATCTAAAATACTATATTTAATTCCGGCTTTAATTCAATATAAATTTAAATTATTTATCTATTCATTTTAATTCATGAAATTCTATCATTTATAGTTTACTTAAATAAAAATTTTTAATTAATGAAAAATTTATTTCAACATTCAGTATTTCATTTTTAGTATTCCATAATATAGACATTGGCAAATTTTCAATAATACTATAAAGTAAAATATATAAAGAGTTAAGTTTTATATAAATTATAATCTAAAAACTAAAAAGAATAATTCTTATTACATTTTTTATTCTATAAAAATCAATTATTATGATATAATTTTAGAAAATATAAGATTTAAGAACAATTTTTAATTTTATTTAATAGCATTGGATAACACTAAAAAATTAATTACTTTATTCAAATAAAATAATAGATATTCTTAAACATATTTTCTATAAAATTTTTATTGTTATAAATTAATAAAAATTAATCAAGTAATGTGGAAAAATCGAAGTCAATATATTTTTTCAACTAATATTATTCAATTATATTGTATTTATTACAAATTTTATCATTATTACAATTTTTTTTTTAATTTAATTTAGCTTTCAATTTTCTAAACATACTTTTAAATAAAATATATTTTACATCACAGTAAGTACAAAATGAATAAATAATTTTCGTTGAATAAATTACAAATCTTATTCAAATATAATGCATTTTGTATTTAATTATAATTTAAATATATAATTTCATGTAACACACTGATACATTAATATGTATAATAGAAGAAATACAAAACGTTGTACTTTATCCATCGGGTATATGTTAAAAAATTAAAGTGAACTTTTTATTTTAATTTTATATTTTTATTCGTGCTATTTCTTACTTAAAATGAAATCTATTAAATAGTATGATTTTATAATAATTTAAAATAAATTTAAATATAGTCATTCAAATCCTTTAAAATTTTACACTTAAATGAACATGTATTAATAAATTCGTAATTCAAAAACAATAAAATTATTCTACAAACATAATAGGTACTGTACACTCATAATTACTAGCTAATTGTATAACATACAAATTTTACTATTTTATCAGGTAAAATCATCAAGTATTCATAAATAATTATAATTTCCGTTAAGTACTTGATCTTAATAATAATAAGATATAGATTAAAACATATGTTGTCAAAATAATTTACACAAATGGTTCAGTTATTTGCTAAAATAGTGAAGTTCATCTATCTAATGTAGACTTAATTTTATATAAGCGAAATATGCTTATCGCTTTTTAATATTTAATACAGTATAATGATATATAATTTGTTGTCAGATCTTAATAGTTAAAAAAGCAATATTATAAAATCCATCGTTCTCTAATCAGTAGTTTAATATTTACTAGAGAGAAGTTTTGGTTTTATGTTTTTGTTCTAATTTTAGAAAAATCAAAAATTTCATGTATTGTACTTATTTATATATAGCTTTAATTTTAATTAATAAATTTAATGTTTTATTTCTGCACATTATTCTGAATTTTCAAATACAAAATCTTAACTAAGTATATATAAATTTAAGAAGATACTGAAAAAAATATTTAAATAAAAATTAAAATAAATTAATAATTTTTATTACAAAATATTAGTTCTGCATAGAAATATACTATTTGTTTCTTATAGAGCAATGCTTATATTAAATATAGTTATTATGAGTTTTAGATTCATCTATGTATGTGTATATATATATATATATATATATATATATATATATATATATCTCGCAAATTTTCATTAAAGTTATAAAAACAGAAATGTAAAATAATAAGTAATTTATTTTAATTTACTAGATGTTATTTTTATTCTTAGTAAAGTGGGATCTTTAGCTATTTTCAAAATTAATAATTAATTAAATTATTTACTATATCTAATTGAAGACAATAAGTTTCTGATTTGTATGTTTCTAAGTTTATATTAATTTTAATTTCGTTATAATTGATACTGTTTTAACGTTTGTAAAATTAAATAAATTGTACAAATAACACGTGATATATTTCTACAATTCAATTGAAAATTCATATGGTGATACAAACTGTTAAAATCTTAGCTAGATTGTGATTTAGTTTGATATTATTTTATGAAAAAAAATATACAAGAAATTGCTAAATCTAATTAGCAAAAATTAGGAATTAAAATAGAAATATCCATGTAATAAAATAGTTCCAAAATTCTACTGGGAGATTTTAATTAAATTTATAGATAAATATAAAATGTAATAAAGTAATTGGTGAAAATAGGGAAACGAACATCAAGGCAAATTGACAGTAAAAATTTGAAATACATAATCTTGATAATTACGATGCTTTCAATTTTTAATGTATCGAATGTATAAAACAAATTACAGGTAAATTCATAATGGAGGAAAGAGTATAAAATGGGGTGCACGATCGTTCACATTTAATCATGCAATAATAATTAAGGACATCATATATAAATGGCAATAACTCTTTGAACATTAACTGAATTTCTTGCTTAAATTCGCTACTTATTTACAAATTTGCTAGAGGAAATTAACCTCTGCTTATTTGATATTTTACTTTTTAAATATATTAGTAGATACTCATATAAGTTTTAAGCAAAAAAATATATTTTAAAATTTGAAGCGTTTACTCATCTGTAATATATACGATAATGTGTTTACTTGTAAGTTCATTTGGTATTATTGATAATTAGTAAAAATTGTATTGTTCAATGTTTATAAAATAAAAAATTGTTTAAATGATTCATTGCGATTAACTATTACTAACCAAATTTCTAAAAAAAAATATTTATATTTACGTGTAATTACTAAAATACGATTATATTAAAAATTATTTGAAACAGATGTATTATTATTGGATTATAATGATATGAACGAAAATTGTAAAAATAAGATTGACTAATGAAATTCTTATTATGTTATTATTACTCTGAATTCAATATTGTGTATCAAAAAATCAATATACAATTAATCAATTAAAAGACTTACCTAATGATGGCGTAGTGTAATCCCAACTTTCAGAGTCATTCTTATAAACATTTAGTTTCGATGGCTATAACAAAGATAAATAGAAAATGACATTAATCAATCATATCTAAATATAGATTTGTATATAAGTTCTTATTTATTATTAAAAATTCATTATTTTTAATATTTATATTCAACAGCATATTAATAGCAATTTATATAATTAGTAGGTTTATTTAATTATTCTTACTTATTTATATGATAATATGAAATTAATTTGAAAATTATATAAATAGGCAATTAAACTATATTAAAAATACGTCTTATTAATTACTAAAATTAAATATTGTATCTAGCAATAAGTTCACAGAATAATTTTATAGAATAAAATACAAATATTATTATTTCATTATAGTATAAAATATTAAAAAATTTTAATTCAATTATTACTCTTAATGTTCTATCTAGCATAATTTTATAGAAATAGATATTCTTATGTATCAATGTATTCATAGCTTTAATACTATTGAATGGATTGGGTATTCAACTATTTTTTAGAATATTAATATGTTTAGCTTCTAGTAGGCATAAGTTTATAAAATAATCTATTTACTGAAGCTTAAAACCTTATTATTTTAATTTTTTATTATTTCTAAATATTTAATTTAAATATGTAACTCAATTATTTCAAAATTTATTGGATATAAAAAAAATTGTAATACTTAGAATATTTTTTACTTCCAAAAACAATAACTTCTACGCTACTGATTAATTATAATATTGAAAATGATTTTTTATATGTTAAACATAAATATCTATTAAAATAGTAAATATTGCCAGTTTTAATTTTTTCAATTTGAATATTCATATTTTTAAAAAAACTACGTATTTGTAAAATCAAATTCAATTTACCTATACATAAACTAAGCAATAAAGTTGATATTCATTGAAGGATGCGTACTTTTAAAAAGTACGAGATTGTTGACTATTGCCAAGTCATCTAATTTAAGGACATAAGCATTAAAAATAATTAAACCACAATCTTGTAAATATAAACCATATCCAATTCAAGCTTAAGATTTTTTCATGCCATCATAGTCTTTATCAGATGGCCTTCATAAATATTTATAAGAGTTAATATAATTATATACTGTAAAAATAATCTATTCAAAGCATTTTAGTATGCATTCTTAGTGCATTAAACCGTTGACTTATTTTTTATAAAAAATATGTACAATTTTTATCAGCGAATAAGATTCTAATAATAAAAACCAAATTATAGTGCATACTTTATATTTCTATAAATTATGAGATTATTATTAATATTGTTGAATGACTTATAACAAATAATATTAATGTTTAGATATCAATTAATTTGTTAACAGTTTTAATGACTTATCTATATTTTGCAACAGTTATATTGGGTTATATAGATTACTAAAATTTGTATTTTTAAAATATTTTTAATGATAGACGAATAAAGTGAATAAAAATATAGTGGAGAATTAAAATTTCATGGAATTATTATTAGCAAAAATTAAAAACTTCCCCATAATCAATAACATCTTTTTCTATTACATAAAAATGATTTTTCTTCATTAATAACAATGAACATAAAAACATAACTTTAGCATAGTTATAAAAAAATATATTTTTATTTTTATGCTATGAAATAAATACTTTTTATTTCAGTTACAATTTACTAAGAAACTAATAAACAGATTGACCCATACATTAAAAGTAAATTATATATATATATATATATATATAATTTTATAATTTTATAATATTATTAAAAGCATATATATAATTTTTATCGTAATATATCCATCAGTCTTTATAAATTTTTCAATTTTCATAAAAAACAATATTAACATTTCATAAGAAGCCAGATAATATATGTAAAAAGTTATTATATAAATTATATTTTAACGCAAAATATATATTTAATTTCGTGTATGTGTACATGCCTTAACAGCCTTTTAATTAACTGAAAATTATTAAGAATGACAATTTAGGTAATTTTAAGTTAAATTAACTGCTTAAAAAAACATTTAGGAAAATTTTTATATTAAAAAATTCTTGTTACAGTCATTAAGCAGTAAACAAATTCTCTTTATTATCTTATCATTTTATACAAATATTTATCATCAGATATTTTGCAGAAGGTTTTTAAATAAAGAACAAGTGAGCGGAAAATTAGGATAATTAGTTTTTATAATTATATTTTTTATACTATCATTAGTCTGACTTGACAACGAGATTATTTTCTTTATTTTGCTGTAAATGCTGTAATAAAACTGTTTAAAATATTTAATATCATTTACATATTTGATTTCACCTACAGTCGAAATATCGACTTTATAATTATTATAATTATATAAGAATTATAATAATTATATATATATATATATATATATATATATATAATTCGTAAATTACAAACCATATATGATCCATAATATATTCTTAATAAATTTTTACATAATTTGATGAAATTTAAATTTTAATAACATGTCCATTAAAAAACGTAACTACTAAGTTTAATAGTAATTCACAAAATTATTACACGTATACAATTGATAATAAAATTGTAAATATTGCTAAAATAAGAGTGTTATTAAAATTAACAATTCATGTTTTTAATAAATCTATTAGTTGATTTATTTACTATTTTAATTTTATGCTAAGCTTTTATCTGAAAAAATAATAGAATAAAATATGATAAGCATGTATTTCTAGAAATATAAAATAATACAAAAAGTATTTGAATTAAGTGCTTCAATGACACAGAGGACATATTTAAAAGTAAATTAAATAGGAAGAAAGTTAATAAGAGTTCAAAAGAAGTTGTAAAATCTATAAACGTAAGTTTTTCTAAATTTGTAATACTACATGATTAATATGTTACTTCCTATTCCAAATGTATGGTTTGAGAGGTAGATAATTATGAGATAAAGGACTAGTAACGAATTTTTCAAAGTAGTATTTATATATGATTTTTTTTTCAATGTAATTATAAATATTCTAATATTGAGTATAAATATTAGAAATAATTTATTATAGTATAATTAAAAATTGTCTGTTAAAATGGAATACAAAGAACTAAAACAAAAAATTGAAGAAAAAAATTTCTACATAATATTTGTATAAGTGGGTAAAAAGCAATCGTTTAATTATTCTTATGTAATTCACATGTAAAATAATAGTAGAAATAATACTGTCTAAATAATGAACAATATCTTAGTTTTTAAGTTTAGTAAAATAAAATTCTTGTTATATGAATTAATTAGTACTTAAAATAATTATCTAATTATAATGTATAATAAAAACTATATCTTAAAACAAACATAATTTATTATTTTTAACGATACTTACGAAAATAATTGTCAGAAATATTTTTTTAAATGACAAAACAAATTTTTGCTTTATAATTTAGGTGAAAAAAATAACACTTATGAGGAAAATTATTTAATTTTAAATTCTAATTAAAAAAAAAAGTGCTAACAATCAAATATCAAACTTTTATAAAAACGTTAATTTTAATTTTGATCACTTTCTGATTTCATAAAAATTATATTAAACAAAAAGTTTCTTAAAATAGATCTATTTTTTAACGATTCAATAAACGATAACAAATCTTTTTATATTTTTAAAAATAGTAGGATAAAAAATGGCCCTATTAAATAAAATGTTCTAGTAAAAATGAAGAAATGTCAAATATTTATTAAATTATATCCACAACTTAAATTTAACATGAATACTTTTTCTTAAATTTTTAAACAATACACTTACACAATTTTAAGTTTTCCGTTGAAATGCAACCTACTATTATTTGAAAAACTTATATAAGTATTAAATAATATAAATAATTTTAAAATATTGAACATTTTATAGTCGTACAATATAATCATTATTTTTAGTATTCAAATTCTTTATGTTTTGCAAAACTAAAAAATACTTGATGCTTTCATTAATTTTTTATCTATTTATTCACTGTTTTTAGATAATCATTTATTATCGTTATTTTGTAACATAAAATTTATTAAACTTCTAAGATTGTCTTAAAAACTCAAGATATCAATAATTTAAATACTGCTCGATACTAAACTGTTTCTTATCTGTATATTTTAAAGCTGTTTTTCATTTATTACGCTTGAGAAAAACTTCAAGCTGAATGTCTTCAAACGGATGAACGTCTGATAAATCTGATAAACATTTTTGCTTTCCTATTTAGTACTACTGTTCATGCACTGAAGTCTCCAAAATGGTTGGAGGAGGCTCTTAAACCTTAATCAAAATTAGATTATAGTCAACTGAACTCGTATGAATAATATATTATTACTTTATATGAGTATTATTTGAAAACGTTCAAGTCATTGTAGGACTTTAATATGAATAACTGTAGTATTTTAATATGAATAATAACACAATAATAAGAACTTTTAAGATGTTAACAATATGAAAAAGAATTTTATTGATCTATGATTTCATCAATATGTCGTCTTTTTAGTGGATTATTATTCATACATATATAGTTCTACATATTAACCTCATAATATAATAATGTCTGATATTGAACAAGAAGATTTTACATAATGCATAAAAAATAATTAATTAAACATTTGAAATACGAAAAATTACAATAAATATCCAAAAACTTTATCATTAACTTTATCCAACTATGTGACTGAAATAAAAGTATTCATAATCATAAAAATATACTAAATAATTTTTTATATTGAATAATTACCATAAATTTATAGTAATTATAAGTAATTTTATATACATTATATCATAATTAATAAGTATTACTATTTCATTGCAATTGCTTATTAACTATCTTTATGTAGACTTAATGGTATAATCAGATTTATAATAATCTTAAAATATAACACTAATAAAATCTAGCCTTAAACAGTTATATTAACAAAAATTAATTTATGCATTGTTTAAAATTAATATTAACGTTACAGTGAATTAAATAACATTTAAAAATTGTTTAATAACATTTAATTATAATTCACGTAGAGAGATACAATTTGTTAATAAATGCAATTACTATATAAAAATATAAAATCTAAT